TTGCCACTATTATATCATCTTCTAAAATAAGAAGAGATAATTAAACATGTTTATCTATATCTCATTGTTTGTGGTCTTTGCATTAATAGTTTTCATAACAAAAGGGTGCAACCAAATGGGATAAATTCCCACTGTCAAGTATGGAAGGTTGTCGAACTGACACCGAAGTGATTATAGTCCCAATGGGAAGTGACTGTTAGGCTAACTTTGGACATGGATCTTGGCTAGCCCCACAGGAAACAACTATTGGCAGTTCCTTGTTCAGTACACCATTTTATGATGCTCCAATAGATAACCAGGTGGTACAGCCTCAGTAGAGAAGCATAACACTGAACAAGGATGTACGACAGGTTCCATAACTTGACCCTCAAATTTCGGTTCAACCCCAACCCCAATAATTCCGAGGTTTGACTGCACATTAGTATATAGGATCACAACTCTAGATGGAGGCCTTTGGAGAGAGACAAGACCAACTCATAATCAGGCAAATAAATCTCTAGGTTAAAATAAGATAAAATGAACTCTTATAAAATACAGTTCTTTGGGATGCCATCACAAGTGGCTGATACTGGCAAATTTCTTTTCATGCCAAATGCTGCAGAAAGAAATAACAAAATACGAAACTCGCCAATATATCCAGACAACTCAATCCCATCTTTGCATAAAATAATCAGGCGCAACAACTCCGAAAGCTAGTCTAAGCAAGACATTGTCGATAAGCACAAGTTTTTTTTTCCCCACATTTTATCACTAGGAGAGAACTACGGTACCTTTTCTCCAGCAGCAAGAAGAAAACCGGCAAGATTGTAGGCATAGCCCACACAGTGGGTGCCAACAGCACTTTTCAGACTTTGCATTGTGTCGTAGATGGCCATGCTCGGAGTTAGCTGTAAATAGAAGTAACATTAAGCAAATAACAAGAAGAAAGAAAGCAGTCTGAGCACAAAATTAAGAAGAAAAAAGAGGTGTTTCTAATAAAAGAGGAAACTTTGACTACAAAGTAAAATTAGTAAAGAACTCACATCACCGCCAGGGCCATTGATATACAGGTAGAGCTTCTTGGAATCATCAATACTGTCAAGGTACAGCATTGTTGCCAATATCTGGTTGCTAAATTCTTCATCTATGTGTTGTCCGATGAAAATAACACGTTCACGGTACTGCATCAAAGAATTCAGTGATATTTTCCCAGATCAAAAGTATTGATTATTAATCCAATTAGCCAAAGGAGAAACAAAGGTACTTCGAAACTGAAAACATGTTACTTACAAGAGCATTCCACAAATCAACCCACTGCCACGTTCCCTCAGTTGGATTTCTGTAGGGCACCCTTGGTGTCCCAATGGGCATCATGGAAACTCGTGCACGTGTTGGTTTACTGTTTCTAGTTCTGGAAGTATGAACTCTAGGTTAGGTTACAAACACAAGCAGCAGCCAAATGAAACTCGAGAAAAAATATAAAAAAATTCTATCCAAAGGAAAATGGAGATTTTAATCAATAAAAGATGGGATGTACTCAGAAATAAACGATAAATAATAGTATAATTAAGAATAGGAGAACATTCAAGGCACAGGCTTGTTAGTGACTATCAAAATGAGGTAAGTGCTACACCTCATTGAGATTTGGTGACATCATTTTTTTTTTTGTGTGAGTGTGTTTGGATAAAGTAGTTTAAATGTTCTGATTTAAACTGTGGAAAGATTTGATATTTGATACTACATAAAATATACTGACTTAATACTAGATATTAGTTCCTGATAGACAGAATTTAAAGATGGAGGCAATGTAAGCATAAACTCACAAACTTGAAAGAGAAAACAAGGCTGAGAAATCTGAAGGCTTGAGTGTGAGATTAACAAGACAGCAGCAAGAAAGTGCAGAGATTAAACAAAGCTCAGCAATGGGAAGAATAGCTCAGCACAAGTTTGAGTCAAATTCTACACACTAGGTTGTTATTAGGGAATTTCATTAATCGTCAAATCATATAGGTCGTCCCAGTTCCTTGTTTTCTGGGCACTAGGCCGTTGCAACTTGTCTGTAAGGCATTTTTTGTTAGTAGCTGGGGTCCAATATGAACATGAACGAAACAAAAATGCTCATACTTTACAACAGAAAATTAGCCTTTTTCCCTCTTCAAACCCATTAGATTAGCCAGCACAATCCTCCTTTCCCACAGAAAATATGCTCTAAAGCCGTATGCGATGGCGAGGAACTAAAAGAAAATATATGCATAGGCGTGGGCAGAAGGAAGAAAGAAAAAAGGATATGCTATTTTCTAAAATAGATTTTCTGTACAGAACCAACATATACAGTTCCAAGCCCAATATATTAACTTAAATTATCAGAACTACGATGGCCATTCATCTCTAAATTCAACATCCTCTACAATTCTCACGACATGCTAAAACTGTAGGCCCAGTATATAAGCAATAGGTTCGTCCGAATCCACTGCCTTTAGTCCGACTTTATATGCTCATGTCGAAAAATCCATTAGAATTGGTATTTGTTAAGAGAATCAACCCACCAGTCTAAGTCCTCTTTAGAGGCAGAGCTAGGATGTTGAATTCATGGATTGATTTGGATTTCTTATTCTAGAAAAGGCAGCTTACTGAGTTCTAGATAAATTATTTATACATATTAAGTAGATTTTATTATAAAAGTATAGGGTCTGGGCTGAAGCTACTGGGCTCTACCGAACCCGTAGGCACCACTGTAGCTTCACCTCTGTCATCAATCCACCCTTATAGACCATGTACTCTATATAAACTAAGTTATGTATAAAAGCAACACAACATTATCCAAGACAAATAACTTTTTGGGTGCAAAAGTCGCCCAGTTATTACTTATTAGAAGAACAAGATTACCTGGATTCAATACTTCTGTAAGCTGTATTGTGAAATTCGGCATATATCCAGTGCCAGATCCAGAAATTTACACAAGGTGATTCAAAAATGTATTACCTGGGATTTGAACCTATGACCTAAAACAATTTTTAAACCCCCCTATGCCACTTTACTAGAACTTTCTGTTATATTAAGGAGATTCAACAGCTTATATATAAACAGAAAAACTAGTTTTTGCCTATTTGCGCAATAATTTTTCAACAAAGGAGATTCAATTTAACCTCCTTCCTCAAGCTAGTTCTTCCCTGCATATACTCTATATATACTAGGTCATATATAAGAGCAACACAATATTATTCAAGACAAGAACTTTTTTGGGTGAAAGTCACCCAGTAAATAAGAAGGTCAAGATTACCCGGACTCAATACTTCTGTAAACTCTATTGTGAAATTCAACATTAACATTAGGCGTTGCAATCCCAAAAGAATCTGCTTTAACAAAAAAGCCAAGAAACAAACAGTTATCCAATTAAAACAAGAAGAAAGCAAAATATAAAATAACAATGATTTAATAAAACATACTTGGAGATTGAACTCTTAATCCGACAAAAACTTTGCTGGCACAGCTGAAAACAACGTAAGAAGAAGAAAAAAAATGTTAACTTTGTTGATATTTACATAGTGGAAAATAAGAAAACTGAATTGAATTGAGAAAAGGGGAAAATGGTACCTTAAAGAAGGCTGAGGGAGTCTAGTTCTCGAGTTTAGATACGAGGAAGAAGTGGTCGGAAGAGTGACTGCCATTGATGCTCTGGTGAAGGAAGAAGGGAGAGTGTATGAAATTCGGTTTGTCAAACTTAAAATAGCTGGTTGTTTTGGATAGGAAAGGGTACCCGACCCGGATAAATATTTGACCCATTACTACACACTTTCTCTTTCTTCTGCTTTGTTCTAGCTCTAGTACTAATATTTGAAGTTTGGGAGGAACTGTTTTTGGGTTGTTCTAAGAGAATCGGTAGCGTTTTATCTTTTTCCCCTTTTGTTGTGTTCTTTTCCTTTAAGCACTACAACAAAACATTTTTTAATTAAAAAAATAAAATATATTTTTTTCACAAAAAGTGAAGAAAAGGTGTAAGGATGTACTAGTTGCTCATTAAATAAAGAATAAAATTTATATATTTTGCTCTAATAGTTTGATTTTCTTAAATGTTTATAGAGGGTATGATTAATTAGGTAGGATGGATTAAATGTTCTTTTTGTTCCACAAAAAAGATGCGATTTTTCAGATAAATCTTTTATATTATATTTAGATGAAGATTAATAGCTTTAAACTTCCATGGTGGTGTGATTCAGCGTTTTATTTCATTAGGATTGGATGTTATAGATTCAAATTCTTTACTAATTTTCACTTTCAAATGTTAGGAGAAATGTAAAGTGAAAAACGAAAAATGTTGCCCTTTATCTTTTTCCAACGAGCATATAATGAAATTCAGAAATTAAAGAGCATAAAAAAAACATTTTATTTACAGTTGCATGAGCCAAACTCGCATCACATGCTAAATCAAGATTTAAAGTTTATGGGTTCAAAATTCTAATTTTTAAGTTTTTGGATTCTTATTAATAATTTATACATACCCAACGGATTTTTTAAGATAAATACCAGGTTTGAGCCAAAGTTACTGGGTTCGGCCAAATCCGTTCCCGATATTCTAGGTTCGGCCCTAACTCGCATAAGCTTCAGCACAATCAATTATGCCTTTTTTTTTTGTATCCATTCCGCTCTATTCAGATCTATTTTAATCTAAGACTAGTATTATAAAATTCATCAAAATTAGACATCTCATTTGTCGGCTAAGAGAGAAAAGGGGAAATAGATGGTTAAAGTTAGCTAATGGAGTATCATTTTGCTTTACAACTGAGAGGACTGTCTAACCTTTTAGACATAGTAATCTAGGAGAGGCAGCCGGTGCACTAAACTCCCACTATGTGCGGGGTCCGGGGAAGGTTGCTGCCATCTGGTCTATTGTACGCAGTCTTACCCTGCATTTCTGCAAGAGGCTGTTTCCACGGCTCGAACGTGTGACCTCCTGGTCACATGGCAGCAACTTTACCGGTTACGCCAAGGCTCTAGCTATTGTAATCTAGGAGAGGAAAATAAGGAAACAAGAAAGATAAGTCACTTGTAGTTTTGCAAATCAAAGGTTAGATTCAAATGTCTTTACATAACTGCCTCTTTCAAATGTGACAAATCATTTCTGAAAGAACAGTTGGAGATTTACTATGTTTCTTTTTGTAAAATGGTAACTTCTAAAATGATTGGTACTATGAAACATGGTACTATGTAATACTATGAAACATGGTACTAGGTAATACTGAACATGGTAACAAGGCATCTGGTGTGCACACACAGGGTTGCTCAACTTCAGCAAACAGCACTAAGAAGGCTTCTCATATGTGTTCGCCTCTCTAAATTCCGCAATAGCACTACGAATCATTCCAGCCACATCGGATTGAACAAACAGATGTGTATTGTCCAAAACATGTAAAATGAACTTCTGTGACTGTGGCAGTGCAGCATTCACATTGATAATAAACTGCGCCATAGGTACATCACTGCAAAGGAAGAAAGCAAACCTCAGCATCAAAGAAGCGACAAGTATTTGAAACGAAGATTGCTGAACAAAACTTAGCTGCTGAAGATTTGAAACCATTAGCTTGCCAATGAATTCTGTTTTGTTTATCATAGATAGTTCTTTACCATGATATGAACAATCCTTTGCTCGCCTTCACCATCACATATCAAAACAAACACTCAAAGATTGAGCTGCAAAACGAACGACAGAAATTAGTGAAAAATAGATAGCCATCCAAAGATAAAGGCGTAATAAGTCTGCGACAGCTATGCTGAAACTAAACTTCCCTACTTCCAGCCAAAAATGCTTTCCAGCAAACAGTTGATTTATGAAAATATGTTTTTGACTAATACTATGACGTTCTTTTTTTTAAAAGAAAAAAAGAAGAGAGAGGGATGAAGGGAACTTCCAACCTAAAATAAGACCACAGTCCACAGATTGTAAACAGAATTAGATGAAAAGGTGAAATCTTAGAGGTCGTTGTACTTTCTTCATTCTTCTCCTTCCTTTAATTTCTTTTTTCTCTGAGGAAAGGAGGTGTTAAGTCCTTAGAAATTTAGACTTCAAATGGAAGGACTTCTAAAATAGTCCAGAAATTTGGGCTTTAACCAGTATTGCATTTTTCACCTCTTCCTCAACCATAACCCTACTTATTCTATGGAGATCCTTGACCGCTATTTCAGATTTTGTGGCGGAAAGTTACATATATGCAATATCTCAAGCCAGAGGTACATCCATATCGCATCACTTCCACATTGTCGATTTCATGCCACCCAAAAAGGCATTGAAGATGTACCATTTCAAGGTGCTAAGTACATGCTTTCTATAACCAATCAGAATTCGAGAAATGTTACTGCAAAGTTGATCAGTTCAAGCAGAATTTGATATCTGCATATTCCTAAAAGTTCTGAAACTAAAGAATCCCCATTAAAACTAGAAGAGATTAGGCCAACTGGGAGCTTTGCTACACCTAAGAATAGTCTGTTTGCAGGGTCACTCAATCTCAAATAAGCATCAAAATATCACTCAATTCTCAAGTTTTTTCTACCACTGCGATAGAGGACATAAGAGAAAGTATGACGACCAGCATTTCAAATATCAATCAATCTATCAACTCCGCCACATTTTCAAATTAGTTCGGTCATCAAGGCTTATAGTCTAGTGGTAACAGCGAGAGTCTTCCACACAATCAGGACTGGTTCGAACAAACCCATAGCTTTTGATTAAACCCTTTAATGTATAAATATTTGATTGTGAACTAAGAAATTAAAACAAGCTACAGGTTTGATGACAAGTTCAGAACCCATAAATTCTAAATCCTGGCTTCGCCTTTGCACATAATAAGTGTGAACAAAATTCTCACTCTGCCTTCCCCATTATCCTTCTCTGATTCCCTAATGTGATAGGAAAATTTAAAAAAGAAAAAAATTAATTAAGCTCACAATTTGTGTCGGCTATATGAGACCTCCATTCAGGTTCATTTAATTTCATTTCTAACAATTAAGGTCAGCATTTCATATTTCAACAAAGTCCTACAATATTCGAAATAATTTGAAGCGAAAGAAGTGAAGCACAATAATTCGAAGCAAATATCTACAAAATAGCTCAATATAAGAGCAGGGTTACCAACAATTTATTTAACTCTAATCCTAGTTACATAAGAACAAAATTACATCAAATAAAAAATAGCAAAATCAAAATTTTAGGAAAAATAAAAACGTGAAAAAAAGTTTAAAGATGCGAATAAAAGGAGCCTGACCTGGGATGAAACTGGAAGAAGAGAAATGATGCGGTGAATCACAAAGAGAATGTTTTTGGTGGGACCATAAGAGAAAACTCGAGAGAGAGAGAGAGAGGGAGGAGTTTCAGATTCCTGAATCTCCAAATTGGCACCCTAAACTTTATAAAAAAGACCATATAATGCAACAAAACTTTGTCAAATGCACAATTACCCCCCTTGTAGCACCTTTTCTTGGCGCAGAAATTAAAGGATTACCACAATTGAATTACTGGATTATGAAATATAAAGATCGATCAGATCATTATGCTTTTAAATTTAAGATTGATTGCTTAATTTTTTATTAAAGTTAACATACTGGTTAATTATACAAAACACTATAAATTACAATTTATGATTAAAACATTGTTAAAAAAACATAATAAAGAATGTTTGAAATAGTGATAGCGCCATGTGAATTGAAAAATCTGATGAGTGATGTGTACCGTTAATTTGAAGTTTCAAACATGTTAGTTTTGTATTTTATTGGCAATAAAAAAAATATAAAATAAAATATAGAATATTTTGTTGTAGTTTTGTATTTTACCGTTGGTATATTAGTTGCTAAATTTTTGTATAAACGTACACTTTCATATTATGATAAGAATAATAGATGCCCACCTTGCAGTTGGTATATTAATTAGTTGGGTCAGTGATAAGTGACATTATTAAAAATTGTTAAAAGTAAGTAAACCAAAATTGGCTCGTCAAATTTTTGGACGAAAATGAAATAAAATAGTGAGACGGGTTGATTTTTGATCAATTGTAAATTTCTTTTTGGCATAAAACTAATTAAATATATCAAGAAAATGTTTGATAAGTGATCATTGAAAGTTGAATGAATATTTTAGAGAGAAATTGGTGAAAACTAATGACAGCTTGTAGCCACAAAACAAGGCGTACAATTAGGGTTGGGCACATATCGGGTATAACCGATAGCCCGAACCGATAAAAGCTTATTGGGGTATCTATATCGGGTAATCAGGATAATATTTCGGTAACGATTTTGTATTTTTTCACTATTGGGTTATCGGTTCGGACCACGGGTTGCCCCATTTCTTAACGGATTAACCGATAACTCAATAAGATTTAATAAAATTAGGATTTTATCCAATTTCTTGGGCTTCATTCTCTCTTTTTCTCCTAATTTTCCCAGCCGCATTCAAGATTGAAGTTTCAATGTTCACTCTTCAGACTCTGATTCAATTTTTGAAAGTTCTTCTTCAAATTTCAATGTACAACCACATTCTTAGAATCTTAGCATAAATTTGTATTCCAAAATTACTTCTTTGTTAAGAACAAATTTTGTTCCTTTCTTTTGAGTTTTACAGTAGAGTTCGATAATAAAAATATAGGATTTTTGATTGTTTTCGATTCTTTATTTTGTGCTCATGTTTTAGTACTATGTTTATACTTTTTAATTTTAAGGTGAAATTGCTACTACTTTGTACTGTTATTAATGTATTAGGATGTTTGAAGAATTAACAGTATTTCAGTTGTGTTTGGACAACTTTTGAGTTACTAGTGCTCTTATTGCTTTTGCTACCATTGGACTTTGGAAAATGATTGATCTCTTGATTATATTTTGGCAGGAACCCAAAAAATTGTAATTTATGTTCCTGTTAACTAATATTTCCAGTGAAATGGAGATGGAATGCTTGTGGAGTTGTAGTATCAATTTTTGAGATTGCACAGCTCATGAATTTGTCAAAATGAAACATTCTTCAAATATTAGTTGTAGCTAGAACGCAGAATTGGGTAGTATACTATAGGTGAATTCTTTTCTTTTTTGCTTAACTCGAGTGAATTGTCTTCTCTTTATTACTTAACTCTAGATTGAGTTATCTTATCGGCTAAACCGATAACCGAACCGATAATGATCGAGAACCGATTAATCGATAACTGATAACTAATATCTTATCGGTTTGGTTATCGGTTTATCATATTTGTAAACCGATAACCGATATGCTAAACTGATAATATTCATAACCGAACCGACCGATGCCCACCCATACGTACAATTCATAGCGCAAAACCAATTATTATAAAGGCTAGCAAATGAAATCCAAAAAACCAGCGATAGACTCTGGCTCCTTAATGCAACCATAATAGCTGGGGATTTTTTCGTCCATATACAATTTGAAACTTTATTACCAAATATATCTAAGTTTAGTTAATTACCCGACCTAAACAAATTTTATCTACAAAATATATACATTCCACCTTAAAAGGCTCCCAATGCATTATTAGTGCGTTCAATCAAAAGATTTAGTTATATATTTTTCCTTTTTCTCTCCTCTTTCTCCTTTTCTCTCCAGATCTTCCACCCTTGCAGCAATTTAAGCCAACTACTGTATCCCTTGATTTTAGTTTCCAATTTTGAAAAAATAAAAATATGGTTTTTTTACACTTTTCCAACTTTTTCTTTTTAATTACCAAAAGAGGTCCTCTATTTTTATATAGTCTCAATACTGATCATTGGATTAGCATTGGGTTCGTTTGCTTCAATTCTATTTAAGGATCGATAGTTTTTCTGCATTTATCTCTATTCAACTTGTATGTATGTGCTTGGTATTTGTTTGATGTTCGTTTCTTGTTCTTGAATTTGATTTGCCTATGTTTCAACTTGTATGTATGTGCTTGGTATTTGTTATTGGTTCCTCCAGAATTTGTTGGTGTAAATGGTTAATTAAGTTTTGGGTTTCTGAGTTTTTTATTTTAGATACAGTTTAACATTTGGTATGTATATCCAAATATTGCTGAACATGTTTTTGTTGGCAGAAATTAATTTATATCATCAAAGTGGTTTTAAAAAAAAGAATAAGAACGTGCTGATAATTGTTTCACATGCTTACGAAATGAAGGAAGATTAAGAGACGATATGGGATGGTTTGCGCGGTAACCAAATTACCAAGATTACTTACATAATGTTAAATTTTTATTTAGAAATTCGTGTACAAACTCGCAAGTGATTATAAAAGGATACGGTCAAAGACTAATGGGACTAATAATTATATACTATACAATTATCGACAACTTTCATATATTAATTTTACCCAATTATGTATACAACTACAATATCATACAACTTAAATACAATTTGTATATAAATTTTATACAATATGTCTTTTGTATATTTTATATCTGATTTATACATAGTATAAACAAATTTCATGCAACTAAATATATATTATACAACTTATCTATAATTTTCATACATTATTTCTACTCAGGTATATACAACTACAATATCATATAACTTAAATACAATTTTTATACAATATTATTCAACTTTCATNATAATGTATGTCATGTCTTCTTCTTCTTCTTCTTCTTCTTCGAGTTTCAATCTAAAATTCAGCCAATATCAAGTCTAATCTTCACCAAAACACCCTCAAAAATTGAGATATAAACTCCAAACCATATTCCTAATTGTTTGCAACAACATCCAATCCAAACAAATAATGGTTTTTGAAAACCCAAATTTGAATTCAAAGCTTTTTAATGGCTGTCAATGGTGGAATTACTGCTTTCTTTTTCTTTGTTTTACATTACTAGAATTAGGGATTGAGAGATAGAGAGAGACGTAGAGGAAATTCCCAATTGTTTGCAATAACACCCAATTCAAACAAATAATATTTTTTGAAAACCCAAATTCAAATTCAAAGCTTCAAAGCTTTTTAATGGCTGTCAATGGTGGAATTGCTGCTCTCTTTTCCTTTGCTCTACATTAATGAAATTAGGGATTGAGAGATAGAAAGAGACGTAAAGAGAGAGAGAGAGAGAGAGAGAGAGAGAGATAGAGAGAGATAGAGAGAGAGAGAGAGAGAGAGAGAGAGAGAATAAGGATGAGAAATAATTGATTCCTAATATAAATGGATACTCATTTAATTTCTAAAGTATATATAATTGGTAAATTTATATATAGGATGTAATTAAATTAAAACTTGAGTAGGGAAGATAATAAAGTTTCCAATAGTATATAGCTATGTAAAAATTCCTAATAGTTGCTAGCCCAGCCTCTAACAGTCGCCTAACATTCTTTTAAACTTAATGTTAATAGTTAAAAAAATTGAAATCTCGCCAAATGACCCCCAAAATTATGGGTGTACAAAGGAAACCAACAAACTGCACCAACCCGATAATCCGAGTCAAACCGAGAAAAAAACCCGACTATGATTTGGTTTGATTTGGTTTGGTGTTGAAAAAAAAACCCCGACCATTGGTTTGGTTTTAACTAAAGAAAGTCAAACTGAAACCAAACCAATCCGACATTACATATATAGAAATTTTAGATATATTTAATATATAAATATAATTATTGTGATGTAATTTATAAATATTTCTTAAAAGATTTCATAATTTTATCTTTTGAGACATTATTTCAAGGTTGGACTTAGAACTTTTGAATGTTCCAATAAGTTTTATAGCCATTAACATTAGTAAATTAAGTAGTGCTAGCAAAATCCCAAACCAAAATCAAATCAATACTAATGTTGACAAAAGATATTCAATTCAATACTACGAAATGTATTAAATATCTATTTTTTGTTTTGCAAAAATTTAGATAAAAATGCATAACCTATTTTTATTTTTCCTTTAGCGTTTAGTCATGTAATTAATACTCCCTTATTAGTTTACTTATTTTAGCATGACTTAGTACTTTTAAATTATGTTTATTTTTATTATAACTTTTTAATTAGCAATATTTATATTACATAATTTTATTGTCTTTATTGTTGAATATTTTAGGATAATGTCATGACATATCTCATATTTTATATTATTTTCTTGGAAAATACTTTATATAGTTGTATCTTACTAGGGCTAAAGAAATATTTTGAGCACAATTTATTTGTTTTGTTTTACGAAGATTTTATCTGGATAAAAATTCCAAAAAACCCGAATAATCCGAAAATCCGAGAAAACCCGAAAAACCCGAGAGTGAAAAACCCGAGTTTTATTGGTTTGATTTTTAGATTTAGTAACCCGACACAATTGGTTTGGTTTGGTAAGTGTAAAATCCGAACCAACCCGACCTATGTACACCCCTACCCAAAATCCCTCATACCCAGTGAAATCCCAGT